GGATCAAATTTAAGTTTTCATATAGTTTTTAAAACAAAATATTTTTATTTTCGTAAACATAGTATTTTTTTATATAGTAATAAAGATTTGACTTCTTGATTGAAAAAGGTAAAAACATAAAGAAAGTCTTAAAAAAATGTCAACTGGAGGTCTGTATATAATTTCATCCGTACTTTTTCTAATTTTTATCAAACTTTTATTCAAAATGTCCTCCCTTTTTTACGATGCATGCTTAATAGGGTGACCCAAATTTGTGTAAATTTTACTTTTTTTCTGAATTTAAACATGCTCCCAGTCTCAAATGGTTACAGGAGATATGTAGATTGTAGAGCACTCCGAAGAAAAATTGGGTCTTTATCTTAAAGGGATCAGCTACATGAAAAAATGGAGTTTTGCCACTACGAGGCGATTTTAAAATTCAATGAAACTACATTTATTAGTTGAACCATAATAGTTGATTTCACTTCTTGACAAAAAAAATCATATCAGGCAATAAATACAGGGGTCCTGATAATGAGATTAATCAACAAAGCCGTTTTAGCTATGAGGTAAATCAATGCACCTCATAGCTAAGAGATCAAACAGGGAGCAGTTGATTGCTAAGTGGTCAATCAGGTAGATAATTGATAGCAAGTAGGTCAAAAAGGTAGACAGTTCATAGTTAGGTGCTCAATCAGGTCGAAAGTTTATTGCTAGGAGGTTAATCAGGTAGTAATTTATAACTAGGGGGTCAATCAGGTAGATATTTCAGAGCTAGGGGGTCATTAAGGTAGCAGTTCATAGCAATGGGTCAGTCAGGTAGATAGATCTTAGCTTGGAGGTCAATCGAGTAGATAGGTTGTACCTACGAGGTCAATCAGGTTTACAGAAAGTGGGGTCAATCAGGAATCAATTCATATCCAGAGGGTCAATCAGGTAGATAGTATCAAACATAATCAGACTAAGAGAGAAGGTAAAATTTATGCGACATTACTTGTACAACGTTGTGACCTTGTAATTCCTCTAGTTTCGAACTAACGTGAAAGCTTGAGAAAAGAAAATTGATTTTGTTACAAATTAGAAATTTAAAACGTTTTAAATCTTCTCGATAGCTCTTCAATAAGAGTAGCTATCATTGAAAACAAATAAGATTTAAAAAATGGTAAAAATGTACTTAATCTATATTCATGATGATTTCTGGGGTATTTAGAAAAACGGAATTTTGAGAAACCCTGCAGAACTAAAAATTCCACGAAACAAAAAAATAATTCCAGAGCTGAAAACTTTAGAATGGAATATCCTTAATCCCGATCGGTTAATTAATCTGGAGATTAATAACATGAGGACAACAAGCATTATTTAATCTCGAGATAAAGAAAAAGAGTAAATTAAGCATTAATCCCGATATCCGCATTTCAAAAGTTCCCAGCTCAGGAATCATTAAAAGGACTGTGAGAGTAATGTTTAAGTGACCCTCCATGCAAAGATGACAATGCTCGAATCACAACGGCTGAAACCGTTAACTAGTCTATAATAGGGAAGAGATTGTCGTTTTTCTGAGTTAAAAAGTGTTAGTTTCTTATAACTTTCTGTGTTTTTCTAAAGTAGAAATGCGCTAGTCACTTCAGTGGAGAAACTCCAATTGAAAACAATCAGTTTTTAAATTAATTAACATTGATATCTATGTTATGCTTTAACAGAGAAAGCTGTCATTTTTGGAGTCACTTGAAGGGGGGGGGTCACTTGAAATTACACAATAACAAGAATTATATTTCAGTACTATTGTCCTTAGCTAAGCTTTATCCATTTAAGGAATTGAGTTTTAAAAACTATTGAATGAAAAAATGAAACTGAAAACTTAAATAATATAACGAAATAATTGTCCCCCCTCATCACATTGTCAAGGTCTTTTTCTTGTAAAATCTGGAGATATTCTCAGTTTATTTCCACAAATAAAATTTGATGATGTAATATTGTCTAAAATATAGAAACTTCTTACTTACAGAGCAAAATATATGAAAATGGAGAGAAAGGGCAATGGAGTTTTTACTTTCCTTAATTTTAATTATTTACAAAACTACTTTACAGGGAAGTTAGGGGAACCCAGACCGTAGTTAATTACAAAGTTTTTGAAAAAATCCCAATTCAGACCTGCAGGCAAAAAATCAGAGAGAAATCTCTTAAAACCCTTTTTATGGAAATGTGGCCATTCTACTTTAAATTTCCCGATAACGTACAATTGTGTGTACTTTTATCTTCTTATTAGACGAAAATAAGCGGTTTTTTACAAAAAACTTAGCAGAGTGCACGGAATGTTATTTTTCCCAAGGGACTTTGTAGTAACTTAACATCCCGCTATTGGACGGTAATAAAAAGATCCATTTTTATAATTTTATAATAATAATAATAATAAACGTTTTTAAATGTTTCATTTTAATGTCACAGTATTTCTTCGTACATCGTAAAACTAAAATTGTCGTGGATTTCTTGTCAGAATTGACGGACTTTCAAAATTTTTAAAAACATGTTTTTTTCAGGCGAAACTATTAAATTTTGACCGATTTCGTTAGGGTCTTTTGAGATACCACAAAAACTTCTGGCCAAAACAAGAAAAACTATATGTAGATGTTTTTACTTTAAATTACCATGAAAGTCCCTTTTAACCGTTAAAAAATGTCTTAAAGCATTATCCTAATTTCTGCATATTCTTGTTGAATATATAAATATTAGTTTTGAATATTTAAAACTACACTCTGTAGACCCCTCCTCCCCCTCCTCGACTCCCTAGACTTGTTTATAATAAACTCAAACAAGAACTTCACAGTCAACCCCAGTTCTTGAATACTAAACAGTTTGTATACAGTACATTTTTATACACACACTTTACATACTTATACACTTTACATACTTATATACTTTACATACTTATATACTTTACATTTTTATACACTTTACATACTTATATGCTTTACATACTTATATACAGAACATTCTTATACACTTTACATACTTATACACTTTACACACTTATATACTTTACATACTTATATACTTTACATACTTATATATACAGTACATACTTACATACTTTACATTCTTATACACTTTACATACTGATATACAGTACATTTTTATACACTTTAAATACTTATATACAGTACATTCTTATACACTTTACATACTTATATACTTTACATACTTATATATACAGTACATACTTACATACTTTACATTCTTATACACTTTACATACTGATATACAGTACATTTTTATACACTTTAAATACTTATATACAGTACATTCTTATACACTTTACATACTTATATACTTTACATTCTTATACACTCTACATACTTATACACTTTACATACGTATATACTTTACATACTTATATACTTTACATACTTATATACTTTACATTCTTAAATACTTTACATTATTATACACATTCTTATAAACTTTACATTCTTACACACTTTTTACATGCTACAATGTATAAGTAAAGAATAAGGGAAGGAATTGGTACATATACACAATACACAATATACAAACATATATACACAAATATACACAATATACATGTATTATGAGTATATAGATACACTGCATGATGTCTATGTATCTGTAGGGAATAGATTTATTTGATTTCCATTGCACGAACTAGGTAATCTAATAAACATATATAATTAACTAATAATATTCTTAGGAAGGTAATTTAAAATAATATTAGATCTTCTTTCTATTCATATCTTTTAGAATATATATATAATTATTATATATCTTTTAGAATACATATATAATTATTATATATCTTTTAGAATAAATATATAATTATTATGTATCATACATGTATTCATTTCATCTCGTCAAATGTGTAAATTTCTTTAGTAGTGGAGAAATTTAGATGACTAGGGTCTCCGGACGCTTCGCACATCTTTTTCTTGTAACAGTTTCTGAATGTTTGTTTTTAAGCTGCTATTTTTGTTTGGTCATCGTAAGACTAAAATTTCTTGGATTTTGTCAAATATTTTTATGGATTTCCAAAATTGAATCCTAGCCGCAGCGCTCGGCCCAGAAAGTGTCATAACTTAACCTAACCCGTGGCCGCTGCGCTTGGCCCCCAAGCCTATCCTAGCCGCCCAGAAAGTATCTTAACCTAACCTAACCCTAAATAAAAGAAAGTATCATAACTTAACCTAACCCGTGGCCGCAGCGCTCGACCCAGAAAGTGTCTTAAACAAACCTAACCCTAAATAAATACTAAGTTAATTGAAAATTGTTGAAAGAGTGGTCATGTGTAAAAGTAAAATCTGCAGTGAAGTCTTTCCCACCTCGCACACTCGAAGGTTGGAGTTCAGCGTCGTCTGCCAACATTTATTCCTCTGCGCAAAATTCTTTAACTTCATCGAAATTCCCTGGGGTAATGTAAGATGCCAAAAACAGTTTTTGCCCAATCGGTTCAGCCGTTTTGACGCATAACCATAAACTTATTTTTATCATGTTTTGTAAAACAACGTTGTTCTCATTTTATTTACTCACCCTGTATATAAACATACATAAAATTCATCAAAATCTATTATGATCGCTGATCATTATAAGGAATGATGATTCCTAATGAAGAGAATGGTTTCTAGACTGTATCGGTTGCATGGTGAGGAAACTAATTTGTAGATTAGGTTGTATCTGATCTAACAATGTAGATTGGGTCTATAGGGTCTAGTGGTTGTTAAATATCAATACGTTTTCACATGCAATCCTCATATATTACACTGCACCTGAGAGGGGGTGGGGGTGGTAGCTAACACTACACCGGGTCCAGGAGAGAAGGGGGTGGTTAACTATAACAATACACAAGGTCTAGGAGGGAAGAGGTTGGTAAACTAACAATACACAGGGTCCAGGAGGGAATTGGGTGGTAAACTAACATTGAACCGGGTCCAGGAGGGAACGGGGGTGGTAAACCAACACTACACCGGGTCTAGGAGGGAAGGGGATGGTGACCGATTTCGTTAGGNCTAACAATAAGCTGCCAAGTCCAGGGAGGGGTATTAAAAGGATGAGAAGTAGCAAGATTCACCTGCACCGGATCCGAATAATTATTCGAATATAATTTAGCTAATGCAACATTAATGTCATGTACAGAAAAATGAACTAATTGAATAATGCATATTGCACTTTACAAATACTCATCGTACATAATGAAAACAGATAACAATATTGTGCACAATGCCAGCTATTCAATTCAAAACACACAAAGGCCATTTTCCATGCTTTTTATATACTAAACTGAGGCGGCCATAGTAATGCGTTTATAATAATAATAAAGCGTAATAGTATATAGTTGGTGCATGAGTAATAAAATTATTTTCAGAAATTATGGAGATATTTATAAAAAGAAGTCTGTGAGGGTCTAATGCAATACTATAGATAATCAGAGAATATTTCATATTTCTAAATTAAAGAAAAATAATAACTCCTGAAAGTACAAAAACTGGGTAAAGTTTTGAAGAAAAAAAATAACAGTTAAAACCCGAATTTTCTATATTTTTTACTATTAAAAAGAATGAATTAAAGTTGTCTTAAGAGTTCTTTCTCCTCTTTCTCCATCTTCTCCAGTTTCTGTCTCCAGGGTGCACCTGGAGAATCAACAATCTCAAGGATACACACAATCTCTCGGAACAGTTTGCTCCGTAGGCTCAAAGAACTGATCTTATCCTCCCTGGAGAGTCTGTTATATTTCTCCTTGTTGTTGAGGTCCATCATCAACCTCTGGAGGATGATCTCCTTAATACCAAGGAGTAGGTAGTGGTTGGGATGCAGAACCGTTCCTTCGTACTAAATATTATTTATTGAGAAACTTGGTTATAGATCAAATAATATAAGTTTGAAATATCAAAGATTTACGACATTGGGTTCCAAAGATATAAAGTTTATAAATTCAGAGTTTGTGGCAAAGACTCAATTCCTTTGGTTGCGGTTTGCGCAAATTTTCGGTGCAGAAGTCGGGTGGTTAAATTTATATTTTTCTCTTAAACTCAAAGATTACGGTATAATTCATATTCTGTAATAGGTGATCAATCCCGCTTTAAATGTCAAAATATCAATTTTAAAAAATTTAAAATCTCAGTCTGTTTCCAAACCATCTCTTTCCTTGAATCATTTCTGAATTGGTGGGTTTCCTGCATGCCCCTTTATTTCCTACAGTTGGTGGTGTGGATATTAAGTTCAATCGATGTGGCTAAGCGTGATCCCAACTAAAAGTGTTAGCCTCTAACAGTGTATTTATTAAGTTCTAACCTTCTGAATGAGTTTAATTAAATCCTGGTTTGATTCCTCTCTATTTTTGCCAATATCCTCCGTGACTTCCTTGATAACCTTCTCTACGGTTAGGATTCCTATTCTCTTCTTACACACGGAGCAGCTCCAGGGGGAACCTAAACACCATCAGGTTCATATCCAAGGGGAGAGGAAGAAAAATTTATCAGATTATAAGATATTTTAATATTTTTATGTGTATAAGATTTCCAATAATTTACTCCATATACATATATAATCTGAGACTTCATTTCAATTATTTAAACCAAACCATGAAGAGCGGAATATGCTTTTTTTTTGCATTTTTTGCTGGCAAATCTTAAATTTTACAACCAACAAATCAAAATACTAATATTCTTTTCCCCAAATATCATTTATTTCCCAGTTCTCAGGGGGGGGGGCGGTTCAGATTAAATAAAAAACTACAAGTAGATGAACATGCACACAAGAAAAGAAGTTCAACTCTACACCCTAGTTCCCTAAATTAGTAGTTCAACCTTCCATCACTAGTTCACCTACTTCTAGTGATTCATTAGTTCTAACTTTAGGATTATTAAAACTTGAAGTTGGAGTGTATATAAATATATAAATATATAAAGGCAGGTTGTACATGGTTCTACTACTCCCTAGAGAGTTAAACCACTAGGATAAATGAAACTATTCAACCATTTCCTTCCTTCTCATGTTACATTCAGTAAAAATTTTCTTTTTGAAATCAGTTGGTACAATCCACAGCTCGCTATTTCAATCAAATTTTTTTATCTAACCCACCAGGGTACAAAAATAAAACATTTTTTCTGAATCTGAAATTACAAAAAAAAAACTTTAAAAAAGTCATCACTTTAATTAATAATATTTTTACTTTAGAAATGATGTTCACGCTTTCATTTGTTATTAGTCCATTTATATGATAGGTTCAAGGTATTAGGTAGTTAAATAGGCCAAAAATGTTGTAAGTTTTTTTCAGGGGCCTTTTAAGGGACTGTTCACGCAAAAAAAGAACACATTCTCAAATGTAAACTTATGTCTTAGAGAGCACAAGCCATCCAAGGTATCGTTTTATAGGTAAAAGCATATGCATGTTTCAACAATGATATTGGTTTTTGAAAAAATTTACCACCGAGGTCATTATCCACAAATTTGATTTCAAAGGGCTCATTTTAGGAGGTCAAATTATATTAATAGCACACAAATATCGTCATGGGTGTCTAAACAGGGGTAAACGCCCATGGTAAATCCATTTTCAATCTTTTTTTTCGAAAATTTGACTCCCGAGGTCACAACTGCCCATTTTGACCTCCAAGTGGTCATTTTGGAGGCCATATTATATCAATAGAGCACTCATACCGCCATGGGTACCGAAATAGGGGCAAATCCACATGGTGAATCCATTCTTACTATTCTTATGTCATTAACATTTCCGTCGAAGGCACTTTTGACCTTTTTGACCTCCAAGTGGTCATTTTGGAGGTCATATTATGTCAATGGAGCACTCATACCGTAGTGGCGAATTGTTTCTTACAATTTTTTGTCTATGCATGCTAAAGAAAATCCGCCGAATTTAGAGTAAAAAATTCCCAATTTATTTTAATTAATCTGAAATGGTGCCCCGACCACAGTTCTCTCCAAGTGAGAGATCGTATCTATCAACTTTACACCGTCGCGTACATTCAACTGGGAGAAGGAATACTAGATTTCTTAATATTCGAAGAGATTTTACGGTCAAATTCCCTCAATCCACAGTTCCATCTAAGCAAGCTGTCCGAGACATTGTCAAAAAGTTTGATACCACATCTACTATTCTCAATCTAAACTCTAAGAAAAGCCCAGGGAACACCTATAGTGGGCGACCAAAATTGACCAAAATAGACACCCTGTATATACACCTATTTATATACTCGGACACTTGGAACAGATATATATACACACCTACTACACAAGCGTCAAATATTACAAGGAAGACAACATTCTCTCCCATTAGTTGACATATGTTTTCCAAGATTAAATAAAAAAGTGGAAACACAGAAAATGAAGAACACAAAATTGCACTTATTTCACTGTAAAATCAGCACTTTATTATCACAATTATTGGTAATTTTGTCGGACACATAAAACTGTTGACACTTGTGACGTAAGAATACAGCTGTACTGAGAGTGTACTAATTCTACGTTGCCATCTATTGTACTTGTCCATTTCTCTGTTACCACCTATTGTAATTGATAATCTATTTGAGTGTATGAGAATGTAAATCTCTTTTTTGGTTGAATAATAATGGATTACATATATAAATATATACAAATATATTTTCACATCCAAAAAATACACGTATACGCTTTAACTTTATTGTATTAAATGAAATTGTTTTTCGTTGCAAGATTTTACTGAACTTTTAACAAAGTTTTATGAATTTAAATTACGTCTCATTAGGTTTTTATTTTCCTTATAAATATTTTCATATTCCTGTTTACGCTTTAACTTTGTCATAGAAAAAAGAACAGTTTTTCGTTTCTAGAATTTAAGAAAATTAACAAAGTTTTAAGTTTTTAAATTCCTTGTCATCTATTCTTTATTTTCTTTTCATGTTTTATTTTCATATATATATATATGTTGTACTTAACATTTCTAAAGAGAATTAATGTTATTCAAAGGAATTAATTCTTTGCCACAAACTTAAATTTTCTATCAAATATCTTTGTAATTTGTTGATGTAAACCTTTGATTTTTCCAACTTAATTTATTTGATCTAGAAACAGAATTCATAGTTTGAAATATCTATGGTCCATGACATTTGGTTGAAAAGGTCTTTGTATAAGAATATCAGGGTTTGTGGCAAAGACTAAAATCCTTTGAAAAGAGAAAGTCAGGTATATCTCACTCATGTATAAGTGGAAATAACTGAGTTTCCAATTGTTGAGAGGATACTCTTTTTTTATAAAACAACATTTATAAATGTTGCCGGCTATACTTTAGTTTTTCTATAAACTTAGTTTTTTTAATGAAGAAACAGAATAATAGAATTTATTTTCTCAAACTAGGCTTAGAAAATCGGTGTTTGAGAGTTATGGACTTTTAACAGAAAGATTTGATGGAAATCAATATTTGAGAGTAATGGCTCTTGCCAGACCTCACTCTCAGCAAATATATTTTCTGTTGTGTATAAACTCAGGAAGGAAGGAGGAAGGATAATACAGGAAACGGAAAATATTTTACAAAAAAACATGTTTGAAAATATTTTAAAACATATCATTATTACACAGGATAGGATTAAACAGCATAAAATATCAATGGATAAATTGATATTGAAAAAATTAACCTTGGATAAATTGATCTTGGAAAAGTTAATCTCCTTGATAAATTGATCTTGGATAAATTGATCTGGATAAATTGATATTGGATAAATTGATATTGGATAAATTGATCTTGGATAAATTGATCTTGGATAAATTGATCTTGGATAAATTGATCTTTGATAAATTGATCTTTTATAACTTTATCTTGGATTAACTGACCTTGGATAAAGTGATCTGGTATAAATTGATCTTTACTATAAATTGATCCTGGATAAACTGATATTGGATAAATTTATCTTTATGATAAATTGATCTTGGATACATTGATCCTTATGATATATTGATCTTGGATAAATTTATCTTGGATGAGTTGATCTTTATTATAAATTGATCTTGGATAAATTGATCTTTTTTAAAAATTGATCTGGGACAAACTTATATTGGATAAATAGACTTTGGATTAATTGATCTTTAAATTTTTATCAAAATTCCGAAACAAATTGTTTCAAAGGGAAAAAATGCCAAATCCATCATGAAGAACCATTTATCCGATATAAATAAGTTTAATTTAAAATATTAAACTGAAGTGGAAAATTTCAAAATTATAAGAATCACCAAGAGATTTTTTTGATAAAAATTGAAGAATAAAGAATAAGCTGAAATGAACAAGTGAAAAAAAAGGTTTCTCCATAAAGAAGTGAAATTAGACCTAGTGTAAAGATTGAACCCTGAGTAAAATAATCCTAATGATTTTGCCTAAAATATTTGAATGAAAGGGGTTATAGGCTGATATCGAATTTAATTCGATATCGATCGCAACTTATTTTACTTCTATCTGTTGCGTCTATAAGGAGAAAATTATCAAAAATGTCTATACTAATTCACAGAGTTGCATTTTTCCACTTAGATCGTAACTAATTTAGCTAAATTTAGATTCAGATATTAAAACCTACAATTGTCGAATTCAATTTGATGTATTCGTATTGTTTCGCGACCATATGGTCTCTAGCTCAAGTCCCCCTGGAGCTCCTGGTACGAAGCAGGAATGCCCCTAGACGGATTACATGGATTCCGTGGAGTTTACAGTACGATCAACATAAAGAAACCAGTTTTAAGATTGTATTTTGCCTATCCTCTTGTTACAGTACACATCAGTGTTACTAGAAACATATACCCGAAACTTTTACTTTTACCATTATGTAAAGTTGCAGCTCAAATGCGTTGGAATCATAGAGAATAGAATATATAGAGAGGAATTAAAAGAATCTCTCGGTATGAATTTTTTCAGTCCCTTTCAGCCTGAAAGGGAGTTCAAAGTGTACAAATCATGTAAATGTTCACAAATTATATGAAGTAGAGTACATTAATACAGTATGTTCCCTAGACTATCCATTTGAATTTTGAATTTTTTAAACTGTTAAATAAACTTTATAATGAATTAGGTGAATAAAAACATCATTTGATTTATAGTTATAACGGCAAATCATCGTTTGTAAAGTGGAAGGCATAGAGTCTATGTGAAATGATCATTGGTCAATTATGAAACCAGCCTATTTCATAATTTGGTTTTCTTTTAACAATAATTTTAGATTTTCTATAAAATGATATTCCAGGGCCCAACAGGTTATATAGCATAAATATGTGAAGTACACCTGCAGTATGGAAACAGTACAACAAAATGGCCGTTTTACACTTTTTTCAAGTTAATTCCTCTCTATATATTCTATTCTCTATGGTTGAAATTGAAAGTGTTATATCTTTTCACAGAAAACGTTTTAATGAATAAATTCAATAAATATATCTGTTTAGTCAGTATTTTGATAGTCATATTATGGTACATTTTGAGTTTTTGGATTTACAATTGTACCAGCAGACTAGATGAACTAGGTGAACTCTGGAAAAGTATTCTTTATTTTGAAATTAAACGGCCTGATTTCGTCGCGTAACACGTATATAGTTTATATTCTATAATATTTTAATTTTATATGATCTTACTTTTGAAAATATTCATTCCTGAAATTTCGAGGATTTTTGAGAATAGAGATGACATTTTCATAAATTCCTGCAATGTTCGAAAATCCAGTGCCACCGAAAAAACAAGTTTAAACAAAATTTTAATTTAAACACAACGTATAAAAAGTATTATAAAATATCAACTATATACACTTGCATCAAATTGAATTCGACATTGTAGGTTGTTGATGAATAGTTTAAATTTAAATGAATTATTTACGGAGTGGAAAAATGCAACTCCTACGTTCTTCGGTATGAGTTGTTTTTAACAATTTTATCCTTATAGACGCAACAGATAGAAGTGAAAATAGTTGCGATCAATATAGAATTTAATTTACGTAAACCTGTACCATCTTTCCTTTTTGCGAACAATCTGTTTAAGATTATATCTGAAGTAAAGCTTGAACCATGAGTAAAACAAACCATAATATAGGAATTGAGTCTTTGCCACAAACTCTGATTTTCTAATCACTATATCTTTGGAACTAAATGTTGTAGACCTTAGATATTTCAAACTATGAATTCTTTTAAATCAAATAATCTGAGTTTGAAATATCAAAGGAATACAAGATCGGATTCTAATGATCTTGTGGTTTAAACATTTGATTTTGTTCCAAAGACTCAATTCCTTTACCTAAAATATTTGAATGTTTAGGAAGAAGAATTCCTGGACATCCCTCTCTACACATCAACCCACTCAGCATAGTTCCAAACTCTAAAATAATATTTTTTATTCAAATATTTATTCCAACAATATTTTTTGGTTGAAGGGATGATAGAATCTTCTATTTGGTGAAAAACGCCTAAATCTGTTTGTCCCTAACATGAATAATATCATTTATTCTGTTGGTGGGATTGACAACAAATTTCACCTCAAGAACCATATACCAGAGCGTCATAATTATATGTATGTATGTTTGTTATCTATAGCATAGCTCGCCAAACCGTATCATACTAGAGCTGACATACAGGGTTACCCGCGAAGGATGAGGCTGTAGAGCCGACTTATAAATCTTAGAATATTACGATGTTGAGGTTGAATTAGGTTTCCAGTCCTGAATACAGCTCTTTCAATGGATTATTTAATGATTTTGCAAAAAAAACCCAAGTTTTTATTCCGTGCAGTCCTCTCTGAAGTCTTATTCTTCATGGGTGACCCTGTAGGGTAGATGGATAGATGGCTTTAAATTCCACAAAACGCCGTGCATCCTACCAAACCGAAACAATTAGAGATAAAACCTAAAATAAGACTGAGGAGGAAAAAAGCCACACAGTGTACATCTGTATACAATGAACACGTAAATTCGGACTGCTATGATATATTCCAGTTTAAGACAGGGTCAACTTTGATGTGCCTAACACATACTTTTTTGTAACTTTTGCTTTAGTTTTTGAGAAGTAATTGACGAAATTCTCATCGATTTTTCCCTGAGAGCTTGCAACCTGTGAGAACATTAAAATGAAGTCTTACTGCTATAGATATTTGAATGATTATTTATAGCTGGATAATAACACTTGAAAGAGTGAGGTCGAATTAGGTTTACAAAAAGCTGATTTTTTCTTCTTCATATTCGATTTTTTCTTTAAATTTTCCCAATTTTCCTACCGCTTTGGAGAGCACGGACAGTATTTGAATCTCATACAAAGTTAGGTTTTCTGCTGTAAACTGATTGATTGTACAGTGAAGGATGTGGGTTTGTATTGTATTGTAGATGAACTGAAACTGCTCTTAGAAAACACTCAACCCACTTCATTACTTTAATCTCAGCCAATAAAGAGCACCGCGTGCTAAGGAGGGTACATAGAGAAATAGAATCAATCCTCATCTTAGAAAATATTAATTTTGCCGGATAAACATCACATATTTGTTTTTATTTTGCAATATAAACTTTTAAAATGCTTTTAATTGTTGCTCTAAAAAGTCGCCACTTTTAATCGTTCTCAAACTTTCGTGGATTTGTGCATTTTCTAAAATGATAATTGTCGACATTTTTTTCCTGGCTAGAATTTCCAACCGGTCATGTGAGTTGCCACAAAAAATATGTTATGAGTTACCCTGTATTAAACAAAATATTTCATAAAATAGAAAATATATTTATAAATGTTTCCCTCAAAACCCTTCGATATTCAATTAATCTTTTACAGTTAAAGTCAGTTTCAGAAATTGAAAGTTTGAAATATTAAATATCGGAAAGCTCGTTGAATTTGATTTGTTTCTGGTGAGAGCAGGATAGGATTAATGATGGTTTCAAGTGAGAAATGGATTAAGAGCCCGTAGTGGATAATGTATTGTGTATTTTATATAAATATTGTATAAATAAACTGGCAATTCTGAGCACTCCCCGCCCTTTATTTGAAGATTTTAGATTTAGAGATTGCCAAGAAATAAAAAAACTTTTTACCTCCTTTTGACCAATATTACCGTACTATGATTCCCCCAACGTTAGGTTACTTTACGCCCCGGCCCTTGAGGCAATTAAGTATAAAATAATCATTCACACTGCAAATTTTTAGTGAAAAAAATCTCGCATTTTCATCTCAAAAGACTATAAAATTGTTTATGTACAACTACTTTTTCGGTTCCCTCGACCAACTTTGTCTACAAAACATCCCTCGATGCACTTTCGATTTTTTCTGTTCAAAATTGGCCTTGAAAACCCTTGCCAAAGTAAAATTCCCTTAACTTACTTGTAAAGTAGTTGTAAATAATGATTTCTGAAAGGGGTTCATTTTCATATAAAATATTTTACCATTAAAATATTTTTTAAACTGAAAATTAGAAGTTAGAATCAATGAAAGGGAGTTCAAAGTGTACAAATCATGTAAATGTTCACAAATTATATGCAGTAGAGTACATTAATACAGTATGTTAAATAAACTTTTTAAAATGAATTAGGTGAATTAAAAACATCATTTAATTCAAGGAGAATCGAATACAAGGAGGGGGCAATAGGGTTTCCGTACACTTTGCAGTGACGTATTTGGACTGCTGGAGAACTAGTTTTTGCGTAACAACAATAATAAAGATTGTAAACAATAACACAAATGATAAACAGACATTTGGTGCATCCAAGTAGAATTGAATACAAGGAGGGGGCAATAGGGTTTCCGTACACTTTGCTGTGACGTATTTTGCGTAACAACAATAATAAAGGCAGCCGATCTAATGTAAACAAACATGAGTTTATCATTTGTGTTATTGTTTACAATCTTTATTATTGTTGTTACGCAAAAACTAGTTCTCCAGCAGCCCAAAAACGTCACAGCAAAGTGTACGGAAACCCTATTGCCCCCTCCTTGTTTTCAATTCTCCTTGGGTGCATCTCTGGCGTTAGATGAAGATTCACCGTATACATAACTCATGTTTGTTTACATTAGATCGGCTGCCTTTATTATTGTTGTTACGCAAAAACTAGTACTCCAGCAGTCCAAAAACGTCACAGCAAAGTGTACGGAAACCCTATTGCCCCCTCCTTGTATTCAATTCTCCTTGATTTGATTTATAGTTCTAACGGAAAATCATCGTTTGTAAAGTGAAAGGAATAGAGTCTATGTTAAATGATCATTGGTCAATTATGAAACCAGCCTATTTTATAACTTGGAATTCTTTTAATATTAATTTTAGATTTTCTATAAAATGATGTTCCAGGGCCCAAAAGGTTATATAGCATAAATATGTGAAGTACACCTACAGTATGGAAACAGTACAACAAAATGGCCGTTTTACACTTTTTTCAAGTAAATTCCCCTCTAATATATATTCTATTATCTTTGTTTGTATCTCTTGCTTGTTGGGTTCTTCCTCACAGTGATTAAAAGGTTGATAGCTCTTACGCAATAATTTCTGAGCATTTTGCCGATTACTTGTTTTAAACTATATCTAAAAGCAGGTGCTCTCATGTTATGAAATGTACATGTTTAGGGCTACATAAAGTAGTTAGTAAGATCAAATTAAGATGTTGCGACACTTTAAAAAAATTAATGAAAAGTATTATTTTTCTTGTTTTACAGGTAAAAACAAGTTTTAATCATATTTTTTTATGCTCTTTTGTTGAAATATCATTGATTCAAATTTGAATATTCTTCTTTTAAAGGAACTGTAAACGCAACTTCCCTCTGTAGAGAGGCACTTCCAATTTCAGCTAGAAAATTAAGGATATCTCCGTCGTCGATGATCAGGAAGGTTACCGCTGTTAATCAGACATGCCACTTTATAAATGGAGTGTAACTTGAAATTACATCTACAATCCCTTAGATCTAGATTATTGAGAACTGTGACGGAATTTCTAAATGTGACAAACTGGCAGCAGATGTTCTTTCAAATCATAAATATAAAAATAAAACAGAACAATACCTGTCAATTTCTTTTCAACAACTTATCAAAAATTCAGAAAAAAGATTTCAAACAATGATTTTTTTTCTTCCTAAGACACCGTACTTAGAAACAGAATTTTTACCAGAAACAAGAAATATACCAGAAAAAGAAAATCAACCAGTAACAGAAAATCAATACTAGATACAGAAAATCTACCAAAAAAAGGAATCTAATAGAAACAGGAAATTTACACAAAACCAGGAAATCTACACAAAACCAGAAAATCTACCAAAAACAAGAAATCTACTATAAATGGGGAATCTTCAGGAAAACAAAATTTAGTTTCCGATACATCATAGCTTTAGCGATTGAGCTTGGTATTATTGATGGGTTTTTTTTTTAATCGAACTCAACTTTAATTGTCAATTATTGAAACATCTGCGGGCAGATATTGTGTACACCTTTAAAAAATGGTTAATAAAAACTAATTAGTTTTTATAATTTTATAATAATAAATATTATTTTTTCACCTTAATCTTTTCTTCACTGAAAACTTGTATATTCTTAAATAATCTACTCAAAAGGACACACTCCTTACTAAAGTCTAAAATGACAAGGGTTACCTGTTGGATCCTGACAACGTGCGCAAGAACACTGAAAATGCCACGTTCTCTGAATGTCGGCGATTCTCTGGAAATTTCCCAATTGTGGAGTTGTATACCGAGTCCACACTATTTCCCCTGAAACATATATATTTACTAATATTTGGAGAATAAACTATTAATAATTATATTTAATGAATTCGATCATTCCTATTCATTCTTTATATTCTCCTTTCTGCCTTTGTTTATTAACATTTTCTCTATTTCGTCTTTTTCTATCAACGTTCTCCCATTTCCGTCCTTTTCTATCAACATCCTCTCAGCTTTCCGTCCTTTTCTATCAACATTCTCTCCTGTTCGTCCTTCTCTATCAGCATCCTCTCCTTTTCGTCCTTATCGATCAACATCCTCACCTTTTCGCTCTTCCAAACAACATCTTCTTTCCGCCCTTAACTAACAATATTCTCTCATTTTCGTCCTTCTCTATCAACATTCTGTCCTTTCCGTCCTTGTCTATTAACAATCGGTCCTTTCCGTCCTTCTCTATCAACATCCTTTCCTTTTTTCCTATTTAAACAACATCCTCTCCTTTTCATCGTTCTCTATCAACATCCTCTTTTTCTCTATCAATATACCCTTTGTTCCGGTCTTACCTATATACACATCCTCTCCTGTCTTCTCTATTAACGTCCTCTCCATTCCGTCTTTCTATATTCACAATCTCTCCTTACCGTCCTTCTCTATCAACATCTTCTCCTTTCTGTCATTTTCGATCACTATTTTCTCCTTTTCGGTCTGCTTTATTAGCATCCTGTTCTTTCCGTCCTTCTTTATCACTTTCCTCTCTTTTCCGTTCTTCTCTATTAGAAACCTGGTATTTCTGTCCTTCTTTATCAACATCTTCTCCTTTCGTCCTTCTTTCTCAACATCCTCTCTTTTCCGTCCTTCTCTCTCACTATCCTCTTCTTTTCGTTATGCTCTATTAGCATCCTCTTCTCTCCGTCCTTCTTTATCAACATTTTCTCCTTTTCATCCCAATCCCAAGTCTACTTTGTCTCTTCCTATAACACACTCTTTCGTGGCTAATTTGAAGCCACTGCAGTCATTTCAAAAATATGTGCATCGAACCTTCTTATCGCTTTTATTTCTAAATTGTTTCGCTGCCTAGGCCTGGGGTTAGTTATGCTAACACAGGGATGTTTTTTAACATTAACGGTAAAGTTTCGTAGCGAACGAAAATTAGCTTTTTATGCTTTTGTGTTATTACTTAAAAATGAACGGTAAACTAAAGGGCCATAACGGTAAGTTGATTTTACTAACCGTTTTCGAACAGATGAAAAAGGTTTAATTCAGGCCCAGATCTAACTCTACCCACACTCTACAGTAGTCCTACTCTTTGTACCATGCGTTATGTATATTGTGTAATACAAAATATATGAGTTATATATAATACAAAATACATGAATGATTTATGCGAGGACTGGAGTCCATAGTATTTTGTATGAACTAAGAATACATATCATAAAACAATGCTAGATTTTATAAATTAAGATTTATCTTCTCATTCAACTACAGTTCTCTCCAGTATTTTCAAAGAATAAAGAGGATTTAGAATCAAACTGAACATGTTGTTTACCGGCCATGGTCTGAAGAAGTCTGATTCTTTCCAGTAAAAGTCCTTAAAACCTTTGTACGATCAAGAATTAATGAGATATCCAAATTTTTCTTTGTAAAAAAATGGATTATTTACAATTGCGGATTTATGGAGCTGAGATGGTAAGAATTCAACAGAAAAAATGAAGAATAATTGCAATACATAAAAATTAATATAAAAAGGTATTCAGGGTACCGTTGTAAAAGAATAAATAGAGTCTTTAAAAATTTAGTATTTTGGTTCATATTTAAATAAACAAATAAATAAGCAAAAGCGAATTTGATAAAAAAAATAGATAAATTACAAGTTACTAGGCTTTTAGGGCGCATTGTGCTCATCTTCTATTTCAATTTTGAACATTTTCTTTTTGTATACATTGTAAAACAAAAACAAAAACAAACAAAAAATTTCGTGGATTTTCAAAATTTTCAAAAATCGAATTTTGTTAGGAGCAAATTTTTGAAAATTTATTCATCCATAAACCTTCACTCGTGTCACGTAAGGTCCCACAAAAAATTTGGGCTCAATCGGTTCAGCCGTTTTGACGTTCATTGGACACAAACAGACGGACAAGCAAAGTAAACATATAATGGTTCACAATTAAAGCTTATTTTTGAAATTAAATTTTAAAATTTTAAATTATTTTTTGAATATTTTAATACACATACTACAAGTTTTTTATTAAATCCCCCTCCCCCCACTTACCCACATATGCTTTACTTTCTCTCCATTCCCGGCCCTCCCCTCCTAACTATTTTCCCCTTCACCTTGTTCCATTTTCCAACATGTCTCTTCCCCTCTTCTTCAATCATATGTCACCCTACTTTCCCCCTCTCATATTCCCCTTCTCAACACATCTCCCTTTTCTCAGTCGCCCCCCCCCCCAACCCACCCACAACACATTTTTTAATCAGCTGATCACCTATCCTGGTAAGAAAACGTGCTTTAGATGTAAATACCATATTTTCTTCTATTGATTGTTTTCTTCTCCTTTCCTTCCAGTTCAACCAATCTTGTTTCATCTGCTTTGTCCCTATTTCTCTCTACTTGCTATCTTCTTTTTCCCTCTATTTCGCCCAACCTTCTTATCTTTTCCTCCCTCTTTTTTACCACCTTCCTTTTACTTTCATCTTTACCATCTTTCCTACCCATTATCATCCTTACTTCTCGCCCTTACTCCTGTACCTCACTCCTCTTACCATCTTCTCTGCAGGACGCGGCTGGATTTTTGAAAATCACACTTTAAAAGCCCTAAATATATCGTTTAAAAAAGTAGTTTTGCCCGGTCGAGTCAAATGTGGTGGTACAGAAGAGAAAATAGTGTGGCTCATGGTTGCCGGAAGAGAAAAAAGCTAATATGTGGCCCGGAAGAGGAAACAGTGGTGGCTCATGGCCGCCTGCCTTCCCCCGCTCGAGGGCATCTTTTCATTACAAATACCACACAAATACAAATAAATTTAAATCATTTGGAAATGGTGTTTTACCCAGAAGAGTCAAATGTGGTGGCCCGGAAGGGGAAACAGTGGTGGCTCATGGCCGCCTGCCTACCGCTCTCCTCCCATATCATCTACCCCATCTACTCCTCCCATATAATCTACCCCTCTCCTCTTCCCATATCATCTACACTATCTCCTCCTCCTATATAATCTACCCCTCTCCTCCTCCCATATCATCTTCCCCTCTACCCCTCTCCTCCTCCCCATTCTTTCCTCTTCCGCTCCCTCCTTGGTCTGATGTTTATTCAACGCAATGAGGTTTGAACTGTTGTCTCGGAACCGTTGGACTTCTTCTGGTTGATTACCCAGGACCTGGTAGTTGGTAGCAACTAGCAAGTATCTAGACTCAACTTATACAGGATTACCCATAGAGAATAAAACTTTATGATAACCAGGAATTCTGAAAATAATAAAAGATTTTAAATTCGGTCACCTGCATTTTTTATTGTTGCATGCAACGTTAACAAGATAAATTTTGAATTTGCACAGGTAAGTTAGACTACAGATCAAGTTTTGAGCTATTTTTGCGCATATAGCGAATGGAAACTCTATAGTCACCTTCTTTAAATTCAATTTTGTAATTACAAATTAATAAATAAGTTTACAGCTGCATGGAACTATGAATTAAAGAAAGAAGATAAAATCTGTTTAGTCCTTTTTTGGGTAACCATGTAAAATACAGTACGCAGTAAATGGTTCAGTAGAAAGTAAATCGTACAGTACAAAGTAAATTGTAACGTACAAAGTAAATTGTACAGTACGCAGTAAATTGCACAGTACGCAGTAAATTGTACAGTACGCAGTAAATTGTACAGTACGCAGTAAATTGTACAGTACAAAGTAAATTTTACAGTTCAGAGTAATTTGTACAGTACACATTAATTTGTACAGTACAAAGTAAATTTATCAGTACACAGCAAACTGTACAGTAAACTCTAGACAGCATAGAGTACAAAATACATGATAAACAAAACACAATACAAACTATGCTTAAAGCACACAGTTGACAGTACATATTGCAATGTACAAACCATGTACAGGGTACAGCTTAATACTTATAATTGATTATATTTACCCCAGCTAAATCCTTTTCCTGCCTCGCTGTCTACTCTCCTGATCCATCAACATTTATATCTTCCTCTGACAAATGATGTTTCCATAGATCCCTCACAACTTTTAGTAAACTACTTAATATATATAGGTCAGTNTTTTATTGAAGTCTGAGCTATTAGTTCAAGCCTGAGATCCTTATACTTCTTAGTATGGGAGTTGCAAAGGCAGCTGTGGTTGGCAAATGAATAGGTTGGATAGATTGCTATCCCCTCACCAAACCCAACCCTGCTCTCCAGCTTAACGGAGTTGGTTCGGAGAATACCGATGGCTCGTCTTATCTCCAGGTGGGTAAACTGTTCTAGTCCTAAGGTTTTTAATATAAAACTAACAACCAGGAGTTCATGAATTTTCCAGGTTGGAGAATCTCTCTCCGTTCTTTCCTTGTCATGATCCATTAACGCGTCCACTATCTTCCAACCCTCCGGATCCGTGTCTCTTAATATCAGGGTTCTTAAAACAGTGATGCATGAATAGATCGGACAAAATGAATTCCAATCTTCTATCTGAGGACTAAAGTTTGCGCTCTTGAAAATTTTGCACTCCTCCTGGTGCAAAACTCCTTCCTCACATTTCTCATCGCACAAAGGAAAATTGCATTTATTGCACCTGTAGGAGTTCTCTCCGACTATCATTAAACAAGCCAGGCAAACCGGTTTACTCCGGGTATACAGGGGTCCAGCTACTACAGGATATTCACTAAGAATAATGTCTCCGTCCTCCAGATCTGCTCCTGCTACCAGATACCGTCCTTGGTTCTCCTCGGATTTAATGACAACTTTGTTAGATTTATCTGATTCCGGCATTCTGTTATAAAAGACGAGGCGAATCTCTTCTGTCTATTCTTACTCCGGATGGGTCGAGACTACACAGGAGAAGAGAAAACAAATCCTACTTCTCAGCTTTCCACCCAGGAATAACTTTCTATTCTTAATTTTCTTTCCGAGGTGAACAATACTTGAACCCCGGGTTTACATAATTTAATTTCAGCAAGATAATAAAATATTCTTGAAATCACATAAATTTCCTTTAGAGGATCGATGGAGATTTTAAAGGAACGTAAAATGCAGTTTAAGACTGGGAATGCTGTATAAACGAATCTCTACTTACATCAGTTTAACATCCCTCATTCTATTCCAATCTAGAAATGTAAATTGAAAATTAAACCAAATCAAACTGAACCAAGATTATATTTTTGTTCCTCATCTTTCATTTCAATTTATATAGATTTTTTATCTCATACTCTTCTTTTATGTACAGGTTTACCCACAAAGGATGCAACTGTAAAGACGACTTAAAACTCTTCAAATATGACGATCCCAAGTTTAAATTAAGTTTTCTCCCTTAAATGTGGTCTTTGTCTCATTTAATGATTTGGTAAAGAAAAACAAAAACCCTGAATAATTACATATTATATCTGCCTTTTCTTTTTATTCACATTCTTTACCCATTTTTTTAACCTTATTCCGTGTTTAGTCAATAACCAACAGTATAATAATCATCCTTTGTGTGAAAAAAGTCGTCTTTATAGTTTGCATTGGAGTTTTTGTAAACTTTTATATTTCAGATCTCCGTTTCTTATAATGGATTTGAGTCTTTGACACAAACTCTTATTTTCTAATCCTTATATCTCTGTAACCCAACGTCATAGACCATTGATATTTCAAACTATGAATTCTGTAGGATTAAATAATCTAAGTTTAAAATATCATAGATTTACACCGTAAGGTTGCATAGATATAAGGATTAGAACATTTGAGTGTGTGGCAAAAACTCAAATCCTTTAAAGTATTGTATAACAATGTGTCTGGTTAGAAAAGCGGATAAATGAATGAATGATAAGTTTACGACCCTAATTTGATGAATCTCCTCAAGCTAAACAATAAAATCTTGAACAAGATGTTTAACTCTGATTTATTGCTTTATTGAGTGTTAGTACACACTTTGTAAATTTAGTCTGCGGTGGGTTTTTGATCTCATCTGGTTCATCTAGCCATGATCTTAGTCTCGGCCAGGGGTGTATATAAGTTCTGAGACTCATATTTTTTATCATCTTTTTTTCCCCCCAAATCCACGACTTAAAAACAGGTGTTTTTTTACAGGTTCCTGAAGTGGCGGGGGGGGGGGGG